CCATAGCAAATGTAAAAAAATTTATGGTGTGGGAGGAATAAAGGTTTAATTGACATGGGATTAGTCCAGCTTTTAATACTAATCATTGGAGAAGGCAGAAGTACTTTATGTAGGTCATCCAAAACAAGACTCTGTGAATGCTTTTTCCTCCCAACATCATCATCTGCTTTGTGCTGTGCTGAAGGCAACAGTTAATTCACACACATTGAAAGTGCTAAATGTTGCAATCCAAATTGCCTACTGGTGGGAACTGGGACAACTACACAGGAGGAAATGAAACTGCTGCAGTTTATCACCAGATTATAGTTTCATCCTGGGCTGGAGTTAGTTCTCACCTCAGCAGCTAAGCTGAGTTGATTTTGTGCTGTGAATGTTAACTGCACACACTTGGGAGAAGGAACGATGATCTGAAAGGTAGAAGTTTTCACCTAACCTGCTCAGTTCCTGTTGTGTTGGCATGATATTGAGTGAATGACTTAAGCCTAGTGTCAACTCACCTCACCTAAACACTTGATGAGAGATGCCTTCACTAGTGTTCTTATCCCCTTCCCCAAGATCTAAATAGCCAGTAGACACAAAGCGTTGCTTGTTGATGGTTTTTTAAATATCGCTAATCCCTTGAAAATATTTCTGATCCTGGATTTTGGATTGATCTTGTCTGAGACGAAGTCTTGTTGGTTTTGGTGGGGAGTAAATGGTTTCTGTGGCACAGCAGTTAAAATGAGGGCAATTACAAATTTGCTTACACTAGGAACAGCCTTAGGAAGGGAGATTTATGAACAGACTATCCAGTTTTCTGGTGAAAGGTTTATGTTGTGTGCCATGTATCATATGGGTCTACCATCTATCACATAGAAAACAGCACCTTACCTCATACAAATGTATTAGACAAGTAGACCTGGTAAATCATGATGATTTATGGCAGAGTTGAATACCTTCTGGCCTGCCTGTGCTGCTCTGGCCAGCCTAGCTTCAAAGACAACTTTTCCTGAGATGAAGTCTGATCACCTGCCACAGCTGGTTGCCAGAGAATAACTTAGTGTACATTTCTTTTTATGTGTTTGTCTCTTTCTTTTGTCATGGTGCATGTCATGACATTTTTATTGCCATTTTATATGCCATTTTTATTTCCATAACATCATGATGCTAATGAAAGCACTTGTTTCCCACTACAGTATTTCCTAGGAGAACATCTACCATGCACAGTCTGAAAAGAATACATTTTTCAACTGCGATAGTGTTTTGTAGAGGTGACATTTCCCACATGCTCAGTGGCAAGTAGCCTTAGCACTGAAAATCTTGTAGAAACAGTGAATCTTATGCTAAGCAGGTACTCACTTATGAGAATACATGCTGTCACTCAAAGGTTAAGAAGTCTTTGCTATATTAGGCGTATTGTTGTAAGTATAATGGAGGGGTCCATAATGAGGATGCCATATTTTTATCAAATCCAGCTGATATTTTGATGGTGCACTGGTGCACTGTTTAAGTAAGCATCTGTTTGCATAAGTCTGTCAGCATTGCCATTATAAACCCGTCTTTTTCAGAAGACATAATGTGGCGGCAAACCTTAAACCAGGCTGTAAGCTCTTTGTCTGTAAATAATGGACCCGTGCAATCTGCATGCTGTAGATAAGATTATATCATTGGAGAAATTTTATGTGATCATGTAACTGAAAATTAATATGGGATAACTCAGAAAGAGATAAATTTAAGGATATGCATGTGTCTGTCTCAGACAATTTGCTGTCTTTCGCATGTAGTGCATCTTTAATATTCTTCATTTTAAATATGAGGAAAAATTGGCATATGACTGTGTGCAGTATGTATTTATAGGTTGTATGTGTCTCTTCATAGTACAAACGAAGCAGTCTTTATGTGTATGTGATACTGGCACATTGGTGTCTGAATGTATATACGAATATATATATGAATGAAGGGAACAAAGAAGGAGAGAGGGAAAAAGGCCCTTAAACTGTATTAAATGTACAGCACCCAGCTGTTGGTCCTGATAATTTGTCCAGGTCATACCGCTAGCTTCAGTGAGATAGCTTGTGATCTGACAGGTTTTGCTGGACCAAATCTAAGGTGCCTAGCATGTCTAGCATTGCTTCCAGCAGGAGAGATATTTTCATGTGGATTATCATATGCTGTTGCTTTCCAGTGCCTATTGCCTCAGCATTGCAGGATAGCCCCATCCTGAATGCAGACTGCTTGCCACATATGCAGAGACAATGCTACAGGCCACGTCGCAGCCTATCCTGTGCTGGTTGTCCCACCTGAAAGAGCTCATCTTAAGTAAGCTGTGTTTGCAGAGCCTGCAGCTCCTAAGGCTGCCTAGCAGTTTAGGCTTATGGTATGAGTGGACGAGGACTGCACAAGCATTTCTGCAAAGTGCTGACAAAGCTGTGTGTGATCCTGCCAACTAATGCCTGCATATTAGCCAGGGTTCTCCAACAGCCTGTGCTTGGGCTTCCCCTTGGCAGCCTGCCTGCACTTAAGGGGAGGGTGATGGGGGCAGAGGCTGGGGGAGATAGAGACATCGTGTCCCATGGTCCTTCTGGAGATTGCTCTCTCCAAGGGTGGGCTGTGTTTCATCTCTTCTCCCTAGACAAGAGGTGAGACACAGCCATTGCTTGGGTCCCAACGCTACATGTGGTACTGAACACAAGTCATGGGAAGTGCCAGGGAGAACCTTGCAGACTATCAGCATAACTGCAGGCTCAGAAAAAGTCTGACAGGACAGAGGCAAAATCCTGACCCTACAAGATGCAGAGGAAAGAGCAAGATTTCTCCTGCCCTACAGCAGAAGGGATCTGCTGTTTGCTGCTCTCCTTCACCTCCACCACCAACTTTGTGACTCTGAGTTTCACCATCTGGGGTCTCTAAGAAGCTGTGTCTCCTTCTCTTCTCCCAGCCAGGGCTCTGTAGAGTGCAAAGCCATAATTTAGCCCCAAATGTTACAGTTTAACTCATAATTATATCCTTTTAGCTTGCAACCCAGATTTAATCTGATAATCATTCAGTCACTGCCTGATTAATAGCTGTTGTGCAATTGCAAACCTCTAGCCTGGTCATTTGTACGTACAGCAGGATAGTAAGGTATCTGGGAAATGTGCTTTGCTATTGTCTTAACCATTTAAATTTCAATTATCTCCTTGATAATTCTGTTAAGGTCATACTAATGTCTCTTTCTAAGGAAGAAATAGAAAGATGCAATAGTCTTTCTAATCACTGTTGTAATTATGGTGTTTAATTCAATTATTGTTTGAATGTGACTTGGAAAAGAAAGTACCAGCTCAGCTGAATGACAGTTTGTGAAGCAGAATGAATGAAACTCCAAGAATATGGAAAAGAACTCCTGATTTCTATTCCACCAAAAGAGATCTTGATTTCAATAGAAGTTTTGCCTGAGTAAAGATTTGTCAAGATCTGGACTCTCGTCTTTCTAAAAGCAGTCTCTCTTGAGGGATGTTTTAAGATCTGTGAAGAACAATAGCAAAGAAGAATGAGAGCCTGATCCAAAACTCTTTGAAATCAAAGGAGGTATTTCCATTATTCAAAAGAAGATTATAGAGTGATGTATGGAAAAATATCAGGAATTATTCCGTCAGCCTTCACAGGAAAACATTCAGCTGTAAGCATTATTCTTGGTGGCAACCGTTATGCTTATAGTTCCAAGAACAGCTCTTCTTAATACAGTATTAGAATAAGAAATGTCTACATTTTCTTTTTTTTTTTTTTCTTGAAGGTGAGGAAACTATTACTTTAAATCATCCTGAACAGGACAAAAAGAAGAGGTTTTAAAATATAAATGAATGTCTGTAATTCAGTAATCTGTTTGTTGCATGAAATGCTGTTGAAGTGCACTGCGATTTTTATCAAAACTTGTAAAATTCCCATTAAGTGAATCTTTTTCTTATTTACTGATAAATATACAATTGTATTCTTCTTATAGGATGCTTTCTAAAAATGAAATATAAAAATACCTTTATTAATAACCTATATTTCAGAGCAACACAGACAGAACTCTGTTTGACCTGTTAAGACCATACGTTATTTTCATCTTCATTACATTTTGTAGTACATTTTGCAGCCGATATGACTGATTTTTCCTTTTAAATAATCTATCCAGATGTTTTCTTTAAAATAATATAGTTCAGGGATGGAATTAGTTAACTTCATAGACCTTTGGTCAGATTTCTCATCCTCATTTCCTCAGAGCTTAACTTTTATTCTCTTAAAGCTACAGGTCTAAGTGACTCAGGATTGAATTGCTCTGAGGTGCCCATTTTAACTTTAAAGGGGCTTGGTTTCCAAGGGAGACAAAACAATACCTGTTCTCTGCTAATCTGCCATCCTCTGGATTTCTCAAACTAGATATCCAGAAGCATAAATCCCATTAAAAGTGTAGGCTTAATTCTGCAGCTGAAAGAATATTTTCATTGCAAAATTGAACTGGTGCAGATTCATAAATCTCAAGTGATCAGTTAAAGATGTTTCTTGCAGCTGTCTGTCCATGCTGCTGGCAGCAGTTACTATTCTCCAACAGAGGCAGCGGAATGGGAATTGCTCAGTCCAATGCATATAAGCTTAATGCGCTGCTGAGTTTTGTCTACTGAAACTGTATGTCTATGAGTAGTTTGAAACACTGCTTCTGGTAAAGAGTAACACTATGCGTCACATTGGAGCATTAACTCTGAAACTTGGGATTATTAAACTTGTGATAGTTCACTGTTTCATTGCTGCTCTGGATGTTGAAATACAGATAATATGTACAATATATAGATCATAATACAATGGTCAGTCTGCCTTATCAGTTTACGTACAAGTGCTTTCTTCTAAAACTCTTGTCCAGTGATTTGCAGGAGCAGTGCTATACTCTGTACGTTCTACTTCCGCTCCCCATTGCAACATGCTGCAAGTTGACAACCTCATCTTTTCCAATTTACTCAAATAATTACAGAGAATTTATCTTTATGTTTACTCTTTCCTCACAGCTCCAGAAACAGCTGTCTGAGCTGGATGAGGATGACTTATGCTATGAATTTCGTCGAGAACGTTTCACCGTCCATCGCACTCATTTGTATTTTCTACACTATGAATATGAGCCTGCTTCAGACAATACTGATGTAACACTGGTGGCTCAACTGTCAATGGACAGGTAGGGGAAACCTCTTGTTCATCTGGAAGCATGAAAATAGTTTCTGACAGAGAAATCCAACTATGTAATGCTTTGGGGAGAGAAAAGACTCACTTTCATAGAAACTTGGATGTCATAAGACCTTTCTTGAATTAGGAGTAGCACAGATAGATAGGTATCACGCATACATCCATACTTCAGCTCTGCAGTGCACACACACGTGTAGGTAGAGTTCATGAGAGGCTGAATACTGGAACTGCAGGTGTTATTATTTGTCAGGTTTGTCAGGTACTATTAGTTTATGGAGTTATGAAGGGATTTTTAGGAAAAGCAGGAGATGTTTGTAATAGTGTTAGGCGAGCAGTTGTAGCTGATGAGGTTTTACACTCCATATTTCCTCATTAGACAGTGCAAGCTTTGCTTTCATTGCTATTTTCCTTGCAGAAAGGCTCAATTAGTGATTTTTCTTACAGTGAAAATCAAAACTAAACATTTTAGTTTCAAATTGGGAAGTTGAAAGTTAATTTATTTTTTTTTTAAATGTACTGGTGTGAAACAAAAGATCTTTTGACTGGAGTCATTGCATTTTTATACAAATGGATTTTCAGGATAACATTTCTATTTTAATTCTTTTCAACTTTCAGTTCTGGTAAACTGAAAGTTCTGGTAAACCAGTTCTGGTAAACTTTCAGTAAAGTGAAATTTAACTGGTATTTCATTTGGGAAAATAATTTATTTCATGAAAAATTTTACCCACATCTTTCTGATTCCCACCATTGCAATTAGTTGTCATTTTTCAGAAGCTCTGGATAAGCCAGCTTTGTGAAATTTTGATTGTCAGTCTCCTTTTTCCTCCTGTTCCTTAGGATGAATCTGGACCAAATTTTGTAGTTACTGCTATGAGAATGGGTTACAAACCAGGTCACATCTCCTTGAATATTGGCTAGGAACTGATATTTCACTTAGCGGAGCACATACAGAATACAACATGACCTGCGAACACCACCACTGCTACGCCAGCAGAAGGTCAGCAATATTCCAGTAGGGTCAGAGAAAATAAGATCAACATAACATTAACAGCCTGTTTTAAAAAGAAAAATGAACGAATGAGGGTTATTCTGTTTGACCAGTGCCTTAGCACTGCATCCTGCACATTATGTTATGATTTGCTCTGCACATCAGTGTCTGTTCTATTGATTTTTAATTAAGGAAACATATAAGTGTTCACAAACCTTTGAGTAAAAAACTAAGGAAATAAATTAAGCCAGACCCTGAGCGAGTGCCACAGTAAATTGGTAAAGCTGGTGTGTGCACATGGTATATTTTCCCCCCAGAATTTAATTCAAAAGAACGAGCTGGGGCTCAGTGCTTATTCACTGGCACTCATGCAAAGTCTGAGCATCTGTTTCTCTTTCTAGATTCTCACTGGGGCACATGTTTTTATTGATAGAAAGGACCACACATTTTTATTCAGGAAGAACAGCCATCCTGATACGTGCAGGAAAAATCTGAAAAATCTTCCCTCCTTCTTTGGTGTGTTGCTATAAATTATTGATTTGAGTTGGAAATACCTTTCAGCTAAAATCAATAAATAATACCATACCAAAGAACTGTTTAGCTGCTTTGTTTTCTTCCACATCTTTCAGATACTGCCGCCTTTTTTTTTTATTATCTTTTTTAAACCACTTCTATTAAACTCCTCCAGCGTAGCTGTAGACATTTAAGAATCGTGTCTCAGATGTAGGATGGCGTGTACATAAACAATGTGCTATACACTACATTCCTGCATTGTTCTTTCAAATGATCGTCCAAGATCAGGAAAGGCAAAAAAGCAACTTCTCATTTCTCCAGTTATGATCCTGTTGGAGATGAGACTGAGATGACTATCATGACGGGCTTATGTTTGCCTATGCTATACGCTTGAGGAATGGTAAAGAGGGATGAGGTTTAGGAGCTAGCATTACTGTCTTCAGATAGAAGTTTTGAGACCAACTTCATTCAGTGCTGGTTGTTACTGGTTGTCACCTTTTAGACTGGTATGACATCTTCTTGGATAATGGCTTGGTTGCATCACTGTGGGTTTCATGTATGTTTTGGCTAGGCAGCCTTTCTTAAAGGCGTAGCATGTACCAGAGGTTGAGAAATCAGAGTGGGAGTTACAAAAATGTGAGACAGGGATGTGGACAGGAAAGACATGATTAGCATTACACCCCTTGAAGTCTGGGTGAGAATGTAAATTGTAAATTGGTTGAGTATTCTTAAGAAAAGCGAAAACAAAGAACCTCACAAAGTAATTGAAACAGACCTTTAAAAATTTACCAACTAAATGGTGACCTTACTATTATGCAGTACAGCAGTACATTTATTTTCTCTAGAGTCCTTAAGAGGATGCATTCCTCAAGACCACTAACAAAATCAAGATAGCTTGGTCATGTTGTGCTTAGAAACTCGTAATTCTAAACTTTATGGTGAAAGGAGACTGTTGTAACAACCTACAGAGAGCAGATTATGGAGCATCACCCAGCGGTCCCTGCATCAAACTAGTGGAAGTGCAGCCTGTCAATGAGAACCCCACAGCAAAATGGAGTATTCTGAAGGGCACTAAGTCTGTCCAGCTGGAAATTTATACCAGCAAAACCCAGTTCCCACTTAACTATCATGAAAAGCTTTTCAAACGTTATCGGGTGCGCCATTTAAATAAGTTATGTATGCCATTTGTCCATTGCGTGGAGTCCTTGAAAGGCCTTTTGCTGCATTTCTTGCTAGGCAAGTATTCCATTTTTTAAAGGCTGTCCCTAAGTCTGAGTGCTGATGAATTGTAGTCTCTTGCTTAATAGGTTTCCACTAGGTTGGAAAAAGGAAAAAAGAAGTATTTTTCCCTATTTATTTTTTATACAGCCAAAAGCCTAAAGCTTTCACATACTTTTTAGATCTTTTTTATTGATTTGTGTTTCTAATTCAGCTGTGTTTCAGGCTGATAATAACCTTTGTTTCAATAATAGATAAAAAGAAAATAATGTACCAGGTGTAGACTAGTAAAGGTAATATATCTAAGAAAAAATGATTGTATCATCTTGGATGCCATCACGATCATTCAGAAATGCAGGAAAAAGCTATTAATGTTAAACTGGAATGTGTGTTTGCTGGTATATCATTCCTTTCTGCTGCAAAGCTTAGAGAGATAGTCGGAGGGGGAAATTATTTTCTCTGATTACAATGATGCAGAAAACTTTTCTTGTATTCTGTATAAATATTAATAGGAACAATCTAGTAATGTGGATTTGGAAGGGAGAGAAGATAATCATGTTGCATAGTCTACTCTTCCTAATTTTTAATAGAATATCTGACTGGGCTGCATAGGTTCATTTCCCTTTCTATTAACTCAAGAGGCTTTCTAATCAGTCCTTGCTGTATTTTTGGGTGGCATATCTTAATCTCTAGGCAATTCTCTATAAATTACCCAAAGTGCTTAAACGATTTTGGCCAGCCTAGGTTTGATTTACATTCGTGTATGAGATCTTCTGTTGTCATTTTCATCAATAGCATTGTAACTGCTGGAAGTTTTAAAAAATACACATCGATACAACCTGTTCTGAAAATGATTTAATGACATTTGAGATACTGCTAGAGCATATACAAACTAGTGGTTTAAATGGTGGTTTTGTCTGAAATGTTCTTCGGGTATTCCACAGCAATGCCATGTCTCTCCCTCCTTCTCTCCTTACTCCCTATACACAGTAGGTCCCATTTTTATTGATGTGTCATCCTTTTGCCCTTTCCCTGACAGTGAGGCTTCTAGGCAATGCAAATGTTCATGTAAGTTAGTATTCCCTTGACCTGTTGCTGTTAACATTTTGTAAGACCTGACTAACTGCCTTGCAAAAATCTGGGGAAGGTTTTCCTAATTAGGAGGTAAAATGGTCTGTGGGTCTGTACATCTTTCTCCTCCCCAAGCTTGTTGAAGAGTACTGTAGTATGCTGTAAGTAGATTCCCATAGACGGATCCCTGCAACTGCTCAAAGCTCACATCAGATGACGTCACATCATCCATGTGGGTTTTCCTGCAGCATCAACACTTTAGGCAGAAAGGATGGTGTTGATTTCACCTAGCTTTAGGTATCTGAGCTGTATTTGTGTGTATGTAAGCTAGGGCCATCTCTAGGGTTCCTTGTATTCAATGGAGAGAAGTAGGCACATCTAGGGTGCCACCCATCTGTCTGGAAGGATGCGTCAACTTAGATGAGATTAACTGTGCTGTAGAAATATTCACTGCTTTCTACAGCATATAAAGTGACCCCAGTCTCTCTCACTTAAGAGACAGATACCTGCATTCGATCAGAAGAACCCAGGCAAAGAGCCCCAATCAGGAAGACAGCCTTTTCTTATTCTCACCTTTCCTCTTTCAGGCTCCAGATGCTCGAAGCCATCTGCAAACACTGGGAAGGTCCAATCAGCCTGGCACTCTATCTTTCTGATGCAGAAGCCCAGCAATTTCTGCGCTATGCCCAGGGCTCAGAAGTACTTATGAGCCGCCACAATGTCGGCTATCATATCGTGTACAAGGAGGGGCAGTTCTATCCTGTGAATCTGCTAAGGAATGTGGCCATGAAGCATATCAGCACACCATACATGTTTCTGTCTGACATCGACTTCTTGCCAATGTATGGACTCTACGAGTACCTCAGGTAAATGAACGGCGGAGGAATTTCTGCGTTCTCAGCCCTTTCACAGCCTATCCATCTCATATATTACCAAAACAATGCAGTTTGAGTAGATTTGGAAGAGGCAATTGATAGATGTTTAAGTGCATAGCAAGGTGCAAGTGTTTTTAGGGTAAAAGGCTGTAACTGAAAGGAAAGCAGTACAGTCATGAAAGAAAAAACTTGGGTCTAAATGTGAGCCCTTACAATAATGCCCTTAGAGCAGCAGAAGAATCAATTTGAAAATTGAACTGGACTAAGTATTATTAAATGTGCAAGAGCATCCTGTATTAGCAGAGATGTGAACCGGGTGATTTGCCTAAAAATCCATGGTTCTTAATGTCAGTGACATAAAGAAACATTCAAAGCATTACTGAACTTACTCTCCTCTGACACATTCTTAACCCAGTTCTGTATCTTGAAAAGAGGGTGATCGTCTAACCAGCTCAAAAATATGACTGCAGTGCCAGCACCTGTCAGGGCAAAACAGTTAGCATAAGGAAACTGGGAAGAGTAACCTCAGTGTGTATTGTATTATAATGAATGTGAGCAGGTTAGGCTGAGCAAGCTACAGACCTCTGATCCATTAACTGGGCTTTTCTTAATAAAGACTTTTTTCCCCTGCAGAGACTGGTCATTTGAGGCCAGCGCATAGAGCAAGGAGGACACCCTGTGGCCAGACAGGAGGATTTCAGTTCCTTAGTCCTGACCAGTTTTGCTTTTCACCTGTGTTCTAATTTGGTAAAAGTTGATCAAAATGTTCCAGTGAGGATCTGCCTACAGATGACACCTTTCAGTCCATAGGCCCCGGGTTTTGGAGTGTAAAGAGAAATACGCTTTATGGTACGCCCCCCTTACTTACATGCTTGTGGAGGAATTCCTTTGTTTCAGGCTTAGCAACTCGGTAAACAGCTTCCCACTTCTCCCTCGTGTCCATGTACGGGGACAAATTTGCTATTGAGAGGGATGGAACACCTCTCCTATCATGAAAGGCTGAGAGAGTTGGAGTTGTTCCCCCTGGAGCAGAGAAGGCTCCAGGGGTATCTTATAGCAGTCTTCCAGAACCTAAAGGGGCCCTGTAAAAAAGACAGGGACAAACTTTTAGCAGGGCCTGTTGTGACAGTACAAGGGGTAATGGTTTTAAACTAAAAGACCTGATATAAAGAAGAACTTTTTTACAATGGGGTTGGTGAAACACTGGAACATATTACGCAGCAAGATGGTAGATGCCCCATCCCTGTAAACATTCAAGGTCAGCTTGGACAGGGCTCTGAGCAATCTGATGTAGTTGCAGATGTCCCTGCTTATTGCAGGAGAGTTTGACTAAATGGCCTCTAAAGGTCCTTTCCAACCCAAATTATTCTGTGATTCTATGGCTTTTTAGACACTGTTTTCGATTATATGGCTGAAGTTTTATCACACTCTGTCAGCTTGTTTTCCACATGTTTTAAGGATATTTCTTTTTGAACTGTGCTGTGAGGACCCTTCTGTCCTTTGCACACATTAGCTGTCTCAGGATACATGTAGGGACAGTTGTTGTCAGCTTCTCTGTTCTTTGACGTTAGTGTTGTATACTGTTACACTTCTTCAGATTGATGCTGGACACAGTAAGGATAGCATCTGTTGATACTGACATGTGGTACTTAAAAAGAAACTTGTTCCTCCATGCTGCTTTGCAGTGCACTTTTGGGAACCAACACTGAAAGGAAGAAAAATGTAGACAAAATGATGTACCACAACATACTTGAGATATTACAACCAAGAAATAATTCTTGTATGGTAATAATGCGTCATAGAACTAAATGAACAGTGATACCACTGATAGGTGCTGTTTCAGAAAAGAAAACAGCACAGATTCACACTGAAAGCTGTTACATCCAAGATGTTGTGTTACTCTGCCAGCATTTTGTGACTCCCATATCACCTTAAATCTGACTGTGAGTCTCAGTTGCCTGGGAATACTGAAATTGCTAATCTGCTACTGCCAGCTCTTGAAAAAGGGATTGGATTTTTTTGCAGGTGTTCTAGAGGCTTTTGTTGCTTTTTCAATAACAATTTTCCTGAGCAAAACAGCGGGGAGGTGCAGTGAGATATTTTAAATACAGATACCCTGTATCTTTCTTCATTGAGTGTTCCCACTGCCTCTGCAAGTAGCTGATTAGTGCTATCTGTCTGAGTGGCAGTGATTGTTTGAGAGATGTACAAACATTTTCATCTTCATTTTCTCAGATAGAATAACAAGAAGCAGATAGAAATAGTGTGGGTTTTCAAGGTATCGCTTTGTACAGGAGGGACCAGACAGGTCCCTCTCACTGCAAGTTGGCTAATTTATATATATCATATATGATGTCTCTGCAGACAATATATTCTCAGAAAGAAAGGAATTTTGAAAAACATTTTTGCAATATTTTGAAGCTACTGTTTGTGAAAATTTACAGCCAGTTTTAAAAAACAAATATGGTCCTTCTAGTTCTGTGTTGCTAACACTTAGATTTGTGCTAATTGAGCTTTTTCACAGCTGCTAAGTAAGACCATTTCAATGCTTTTAATCTCCATCAAACCTCCTACCTTACTCTTCTGTGAAGTACAAACGGAATGTATCATTTAAAGATTTCTTGTTTATGAAACTCAGACACTTTCATGGTCTGTGCTGAGTGGAAGTCTTTTGTCACCTTCCCTTATTAGTTACTGAGGTCATCTTGTCATTGCCCCAGAGGTAAAGGCTCTTTCTGGTTGCTACAAGTAAGGTGTGTGGGTCATCCTAAAGGTTCTTCTAAGATAAAATAACTAGACAGGCTGCTTATCTACACTTGTCACAGCTAGCATTATAGATCTTCCTTGACACATTTTGTGTAAAATATGCCCTTCACTTCCAGTGACACATTTAGCATGATTGGGTCTTTATCCACTCAGGTTTTATACCTGTACCTGCAACATCAGTTGTGAAGTATTTCTGGTTTTATTTCAGCATCTCAGCAGGAGACACACTTCATGTTGTGTCTCTTGGGTTTTATTTGTCGAATGCATTTGTAGGCTACGCTCTCAATGCTTTTGCAGAGAGGAGGAACGTTCTAGGAATATGAATTCAACAGTGGACTGACAACTCTCCAGTTCTTACCACAAACTCTGTGACTGCTGTATTCATTGATCTTGAACTAACCACTTAGTGAGTCCTGATGGTGGAAGTTGATTTTAATTAATGGACCTTTTTCTTTTTCCCCTAATTCAGTGCTTTAGGATAAGATTGCTAACCTTTCTGTGTTTGAGCTTCTCTGTCCTCCAGAGATGGGCATGATATTACTATCTGCCCCATGATGATGAGAAATCTGTGTTAATTTTTGGAAAGGATTATGGAGATTAAAAGATTGATATTGATATGCTGGAGTTCATTTAAGTTGTGAGGAGGCTCCTGATTTAAGATTCATTTCTTACAAGCTTTGCAAAAAATAGGGTTGATTAGTAGATTTAGAAATTTAACCTAACCTTCGCTGTGTCAGAATGACATACATCAGGTCTGAACACAAAGATGCCTGGGAAACGGTTTCCTGGACAACACTAGCAAAGAGAAAGCTCTTCATAAAACCATGTATCCTTATTTTGGGGCTTGGGGGAAAAGGACAGACAAAGGAAAAAGGATACTGAATCAATATTACTGAATCTAAACCCCAGCCCGCATAAGGATAGTGCAGGAATTAAGCAGTTTACCCAGTGCTAGTTTGCAAAATAACCTGAAAATTTTCCTATTCCAAGTACCACAGAACCAGTCAACCAGCAAATGGCACATCCACTGAAAACAGGATAAAAAAGTCACCCCATGGAAAAGGAGAAGTAGATTTGCTTTGAGTAAGAAGAGGTTTTATTTTCAGCTGGTTGGTTGAGGAGCAGACCACCAGCCAAGTCACCAGGAGAAAATGGAAGGGATTTTTTAATGTACCAAATCCTCCTGCCATTCTCACATTTTACATGGCCTCTTCTGTCCTTTGTCACTCAGGTTCAACATCTAGATGTCAACACTGATTCTTTCTTCACTTACATTAGTTCTTTATGTCATCTAGTTCACATCAAAAGCAGGCTATTCCATTCAGAGGTGAGTGCTGCTGGACTTCTTGACTGAGCATATCTCAAGTCCCAGCTCAGTTTTGGTGAAATCCTCTACTTTGACCTTACTGACATGCGCCTTAGATGCTTAACATATCTCTTGAAAATGTTTCTGCAGAGGTTATCCCACTGTTCTATTTCGCCGTTGAAGTACCTCCACCAATTCTCTGTGTTTGACTGTACCTATTACAAGCATCTTGCTTTCAGACCTCTGGTTCTCTCCACTTATCTTTTCATGTTGACCTTTGAGAGTACAAATGATTTCATCCTTTTGTATCAGTTTATTCCCTCTGCCTTTTGTTTGTCTTTATGGTGGTACTGTCATCTATTTTTTCCAACAGTTCTGCTATTGATACCTATATTAAATTTGCAGATGACAAGAACAGGGAGTGTGCAGAAGGGATTATTGATACCCATGTTGGTTTTGAGCTTGTATCCCATATCTTACAAAATTAGTCACGTTCAACACTAGTTTCAGCACAGCTTGCACTGTCTGACAGTCTCTGCTGTTACCCTTCCTTGATACCTGTCCCGGGTTCAGCTGTAAAAGTTATTTTTCTCCTTCCTAGTAGCTGGTGCAGTGCTGTGTTTCGGCTTCATTCCGAGAACAATGCTGATAACACACCAGTGTTGTAGTTGTTGCTCAGTAGCGCTCACTCTAATCAAGGATTTTTCAATCTCTCATGGTCTGCCAGCGAGGAGGGGCACAAGAAGTCGGGATGGAGCAGAGACAGGACACTTGACCCAAACTGGCCAAAGGGGTATTCCATAACACAGCACGTCATGCCCAGTATAGAAACTGGGGGGAGTCACTCAGAAGGGACCAATCACTGCTTGGGTTGGGCTGGGTATCTGACGATAGGTCAGTGGGTGGTGAACAATTGGATTGTGTATCACTCGTGTTTTCTGAGCTTTCATTTCTTCTCTTGTTGTTTCCTATTATTCCTGTTATTATTGGTGTTCTTTCTACTATCACTATATTTTATTTTAATTATTAAAGTGTTCTCATCTCAACCCGTGGGGTTTACATTCTTCGATTCTCCTCCTCATCCCACCTGGAGCGGGGGGAAACGGAGGGGTGAGCGAACGGCTGTGTGGTTCTGAGTTACCAGCTGGGCTTAAACCGCAACAATACCTATACCTCCTTCAGCTTTGTTCAGCTTCATTGTCTCTTGGTGGACAGGATTGTTTCTTCCTCCTTGACAGTGCCAAGCACATCATGGCCTTGATTTTTGCCTGGTACTTTTGAGCTCCCCATCAAACAAAGAGACAGTAACAGCCATAAATGGAAGCTGCTATTTCCTTACACAGCCCAAATGATGAGCATCACTGCAAATGTTGCTTGCTCCTTCCTAGAACTGAATTGCCAAAGATGTACCACTCAAGTCTGATAGATTACACAGAGACCAGCAAGCCTGAGATGTTGAAAGAGAAACTATGTCAGTGTCCTCTGCTCTCAGAGAAGGTGTGAAGGGGGAGAAACATTAAAAGCATCATAAAGACTAGATGCTGGCACTACTCAATTGTTCTGGAAGGTCATGGAGGCTGACTGTGAAGGAGTCATCTATTTACAAGCAGGTATCTTGGCCATTAGTGATGGTGAGGGAGAAGGTAGTGAAGAAAGTGCAAAAAAGTTATAAGATACCGTTAAAATCCTTCAGTTATGAAAAGTTCACTGAAGTGTGGCAGGGCTTCTTTAAACAATGCAAACTTTGCAGTAAGGTGCTGATAACAGACTTCTTTTTATAGAACAGGCCTATAGGGTGGTGTGAATTCTCTAAAATCCAGGTTTTATTAAATAGCCCTGCTCCTCTTCTTTTTCTCTGATGGCACTATAAATGAATTCTAGATATTCTAGGCCAAGAAAAGTGGTTTGTTTGGTTCTTCTGTTATTATGACAGTGATCCCAATTCCTTCATCTTAAAAGGCTGTAGAGAGTTTGCTGCTTGTCAACATTGTCCTTGATTGCTTGTTGCAGTAACATAAAAATCAGGACAGTGAATCCTGTTAGAGGGAACTGACTTTGACAGAGAGAAAGAGGCATATTTCTCCTATGAAATATGAAGATAATGAAAGGAAAATCGACACAGAGTTATTTCTAATGACAAGCATAGTGAGATTCAGTTTGGGGAAGAAAAAGTAACTTCTTTTTCTTTTTCTTTGGGTTTTCATTTGTTAGGAGAGAACAGATGGAATACCTCTGGCAGGCAGGCCATAAGATCACTAATCCTGGCTCCATGACTGGTGTCAGCATCAGAATTTTGGGTGTTTTGACCATGGGTTAGTTTTTACAGCACCAGGCCTGCAGGCAGATTGGGTACGCCTGTTCCAAAGGGGGAAAAGGATTCTAGCCCGAGAGCTGTCAGGGCTTATAGAAAGGGCTTTAAACTAGATGTGAAGGGGGAAGAGAATAACAGCAGGCTCACTAGACATGAGCTAGGGGCTGTTAGAGTCCAGACCCACAGGGCAACTTAAATGCATTTATGCCAATGCCCGCAGCATGGGCAACAAACAGGAGGAGCTGGAAGCCATTGTGCAGCAGGTCAGCCATGACATATTTGCTATCACAGAAATATATTGCCGTCACAGAAACGTGGTGGAATGATTCATATGATCAGAGTGCCACAATGGATGGCTACAGGCTCTTCAGAAGGGGTGGACAAGGAAAAAGAGATGGTGGGGTTCCGAGTCTCATGGGAGACTTCAACCTACCAGACATCTGCTGGAAGTACAACACAGCAGAGAAGAAACAATCAAGGGGGCTTTTGGGGGTGTGGAAGATGACTTCCTGACCCAGCTGGTGAGTGAGCAACTAGGGGAGATGCCTGGCTAGATTTGCTGTTCGCAAAGAGAGAAGGGCAGGTGGGTGGTGTGATGGTTGGAGGCCGTCTTGGGCAACGCGATCACGAAATGATTGCATTTTCAATCCTTGGAGAAGTCAGGAAGAAGGTCAGCAAAACCTCTACCTTAGACTTCCAGAGGACTGACTTTGGCCTGTTTAGGACACTGGTTGGCAGAATTTGTTTGGAAACATTAGTGAAGGACAAAGGGGTCCAGGAAGGCTGGACACTCTTCAAGAATGAAATCCTTAAGGCACAGGAGCAGACAGTCCCTATGTGCCGGAATTCGAACTGGTGGGGAAGAGACCATCCTGGCTGAACAGGGAGATAGTGCTTGAACTCAGGAAAAAAAGATAATTTATCACCTGTGGGACTGTGACTCCATGAAAAGTACAAGGATATTGTTAGGTTATGTATGTAGTAAGAACGGCGAAGGCACAGATGGAGCTAAATTTGGCCACTGCCATAAAAGATAATAAAAAGTACTTTTACAAACAATACTGTTCTTGAAAGCAAATATCTGGTCCACAGTGGTGTTAAGGTAACACTCACCTTGCAGGACAGACAAAGCTCTAAAGCAGAGGTAAAAAGCAAGTATTGATGGCACAGCTTAGCATGGAGAATAGCTGGGCTAAAGTGCAACCAAACTTTCCATCATGTGAAGTCACACTGAATCCTGGATAAATCCCATTTTTTTAGAACTGCCATTGTCTGGGCATCTCTTCGCCATGTATATATTAACATTCAGCTATGTTTCTCTTAAAGGGGTGACCATTTGGCTGTGCTCAGAGTGCTAGATCAGTCCTGTGCACCCCTGGACATGCAGGGCATCATTGATCAGTCAAACATACAAGCTCTTTTTGAACTCTTGTTCTCCCTGCTCAAAAGTAGAGGAAAGTATGAAACACCTAGGGAAAAAATACAGGCCATAGTTAAATTTACGGTATCAAACTGCCCATTCTCTGCACTTTATTTTGAAAAGCCAAGTGCTTTGCTCAGTTTAAAGTTTTCCTGCTTTTATTTGTTGTTTCTCTTCACCAGGAAGTCTGTCATCCAGCTAGACCTGGCTAACACCAAGAAAGCTCTGATAGTACCTGCTTTTGAGACCCTGCGCTACCGCCTCTCCTTCCCCAAGTCAAAAGCAGAGCTGCTCTCTATGTTGGACATGGGAACCCTCTTCACTTTCAGGTAGTGGAAAGTACTTTTGTTGAATGTGTGGTCATGATCTCTAAAGATTGTTTGTATATATTGCTCCATTAAGAAACCTATTGGAATTTATTTTTCCTTTTCATAGAGAGGCAGTGAAGAGAATCATATGTGGATGTATTCCATCTGTAAGCTCAGCATTTTATCTAATGTTATAATCCTCTACTGAAGGACTTCAGTTGTTAAATTGAATTTGGTTTATTTCCATCATTTTTTATTGCTCTACAAAATCAAGCACAACCATTACATTCATGGGCGCGTAATTTGGTTTTTGGCTGCCAAATACTGTACAGATTGCTATGTCCCTCATGTGACCAAAAATAATTTCTCTCTGCTCATTTGTTCACTTCCTTACTGAGTTATGGGAAAAAACAAATGCAGGCTTGTTGTGTGCTCTTTCGAAGTGTGGAACAGCTGCTTGAATAGCTGGAGTTTCTTAATGCAGAGGTAAAAGTGTACTCTGACTAGAAGTTGAGAAGTGAGGAACACCTAAATTTGGAGCTCCTCTCTAAAGCAGGCACCTTTTATGGCTGTGAACAAGTCACTTCTATTATCTGCCAGACTCTTCAGTTTTAAAATGCAACTACCAGGGTTAACTGTCTCTTGGGTGTGTGTGTGGTAAGGTCTGATTAACAGACATTTGTAAAGCATCACAGTGATGGGAAGAGTACAATATGGCCTTATGATGTTGCACAGAGAGGGGGCTTAGGAGACCTGCGTTCTCTTCTCAGCTCCACTACTGCCCTGCTGGGAGATGGTACACGAATCAGTTCGCTTTCTTACATCTCTGTTCTCCATCTCTGAAATGCAGGTAACAATGTTCACCTCTCCTTTTTATAGTATTTTGAGATCTAGAGATAAAAACTCTGAAAAAGCCAGGTATTATCCATGGCCAGTGGAGCTCTGTATCACCTCTCCCATCCTCTTTAGAGCTTTCCTCACACTCCCATTATGTGTATCACACACCTCTCTCATTGCAGCAGCCACCCTTCCCTCATGTGGCCGCATAGCAAACACCCTGTATGAGCCTGGAAAACATAATCATGACACTGCCTCTACCAGTGGCTGACTTGAAATAGAAACTTGAGGCATAACACTCTCTGGAAAATTACTTAAGGATACTTACTGATAGAGCAAGTGCCTTTCACTCTTCCATCATTCCTTAAGAGTCCAAAAGACATACAAATTAACAAGAAATTTGTTGATAGAACGTAATTGTTTCTCTCATAGTTGAAAGAAAAATATCCTTCCGGTGGAAAATAACACCCTCAGGATTTCCAAATGCTACATTCCATGGACAAATTTTCAGCTTGCACAGTAGTGGCCTTCCTCTACAGATTTCATCCTCAAGCTATACAGCATTTTGGCATGTTACATACACAGACAGATTTGCAGGTCCTTTCTCAAGTCTCACTTAGGCAAAACTGTCTTTAACATCAGTGGGAGTTTTGCCAGAGCAAGGTTAAATAAGAATTGAAGGACGTGCGATCTGTAGCTGGTGTACATATTAATGTAGAACACAATTTGCAAATGCTGCCCCAGTTTGCTTTGGCTCATTTCATTGCTCAAATCTATCAACAGCCACAAAGCAGCTGTGATCTGGGCTGAGAATTTCCACCTCCACCTTCAAGGTGCTTTAATAACGCTGCAATTCAAGGCTGAGCGGGTGGGAGTGAGCTGGGGAGGACCGCTGTGACAGTGATTGCTGAGAGTGCCTGCAGCATCCCAGTCCCTCATGCCACGTGGTAGATTACAATCTTTTCCTCACTGAAATTGCTTTTGCCACCTCTTTTCCAAATGGTGACCTTTCCTAGCTCTGGGCAGCTAAGAAGTACAAAACGGCTCTCAATTACATCCTCCAGTCACCACCAGAAGAAAAGGGAAGGCGTGTGAGCATCTGTGGCTGGCAAGGTGTGCTGTTTGGAAACCCTCCACGGAAGCAGGTTGCTCTATGCCAGCTTCCTGGCTTTGTTTGCAGGTGCTGACTGTGCCTCCCAAGGATGTGCCTGCTCAGTGCCTGGGTGATGAACCACAAATGTACTGCTGACACAGCTTTCAGGCACAAGGGAGACCACAGCTGGTAAAAGACGTGTCGCATTGGGAAAACATAACCAGCAACAACTGATTAACTAATTAACTGATTGCATCCACAAGCCAGCAAAATGTTTAAGCATCCAAGAACAGATCTGGGAAAGTTTTTCTTTCATCAAATCATCTTTCTTACTGAAACAGGAAGCCTTGAGGGAGGAAGAACTCTTTGAGAAGAATAATGATTTAATTTCACTAAGTTTAGCTAAGTTTACTACGGTTTTGAAGTTTTATTTTAAATCAAAGCAATCAATAGCACAAGTAAGATGAAACATTTGATCCAAAGTGGTGGGTATGTTTTCTTCCAGTTGTTTTCTATAAAACATGGGAAAGACATTCATCAGCACTTTACGGAGATCAAATGATGTTGTTTGGATTTGCCGAAATTGCCAGTGTAGTGAAAAATACGTTGTTCACAATTTGCAGGAAGTTCTGGGAGTCAGTGAGATTGAGTGCAGCCTTAAAATGTGATGTGTATTTACATCTTGAGTGACAAGGGCCTGAGCAGGAAAATTAGTCTTATTCATTTGTTCTGTGAGATGGAAGACCGGTACAGACAGTGGAACCACGTCCCACAGCTGCATCTCTGAGAGTAAAGTCTGTTGGAAATGACTCACTCTTTTATAGTAGCTTCCTCTATATGAACACCCGTGTAATGGTCTCTGCATATCTTACTTTGCAGTACATGTCATTTGGTATCAGCCGTTTGTCATGCCCCAGCTTCAGCAGATCGTATGTGTGTATGTATATATGTAGGCTCGTATATATTGTATGTACAGATACTTATGTAATCCTGAACTCTAAAAATTCTTGTTTCCAGTCTAATTATTCCTTTATAATTAGTGTGCATGCACCTCATTTGAGCATCATGTACTCATTTTCCTCTTTGCCCTGACCTTAGCCATCCTTTTGTCTTCCTCTTTACTTCCACTCACATCAGTAACTCTGAAGAGGCAAGTAGATAATCTCTGGTATTATTTTGTTTGATACAATCAGGTCTATTCCTTCCTTCCTACTTTGTCTCATCTCTCCAATCTCAATTCCATATTTTCCCCTCACTGTGTCTTCCCAATTTTTTTTCCCTGCTGGTCAGCTCCCTCGATTCACAGAGATTATACCTAAGGTGCTGTAACAGCTTACACTGATATCCCCAAACAGGGTGAAAAGAAATTGATGGATTTTATGGTTAGCATCCTGTTTTCCCCCTGTTTAAATCAGTGGGAGAGTGTTACTAGAACAACAGCAGCACTTGACTGCTTCTCTGCAGGGATCTCTCAATTAACTGAAGTTTGTATGGGGCTTTGAAGATACAAATCACTTTGTAAGTGTTTAGTAGTCATTATTATTATTATCATAATTAATTTCAAAATGCTGGAGGTAGGATTTTAGAAGATAAAGCATCCTCCACACTCCCATATTTTAAACCACACATTGTGTTTATTATTTTTTTTTTTACAGTGTAGACAGCTGCCCATTAGTGTCTGGGTGGATTACCCACTCATTTCCAAAAGAGAACAAGAAAAGGGTTAAGCATGTTAGAGGTGATTGCAAAGGGCGTTAAGCATTGTAAGCATCTTTGTGAATCTGGCACTCTTTTCTAATAATCGTTGGAGAATTAATTCTCTGACAGGTTTCTTAATACAGAAGGGCTGTTTTCCCTGAGCCAGATAACTGAAAGTGGTGCAACCTGTTTACAGTTTAGAAATGCAGAATTCAAAGGGCCACACTTGGGACCCCAGTGCTATCCTAATTATTCTGTCTTCCTGCACTGCCCCTGAACAAGGAGAGTCAATACCTCTCTGTTTTTCCTGTTACAAGCCATACAAATATACAGTCCAAGTGAAAGCTCGTAGGTGTGATTTTTCGTCCCTGCTTTTAGCAATGGCTCACAATGTTATGAGGATTTCTGGGGTTGAAACATTACCTCAGGTCCTAATTCTGAAAATATTTAATGCTCAAATCTCATGACTTTTAGCACAAGTTATCCCTGTGAATTCAATGTACCTTACATTATGAACTGGCAGGGTGTTTGTTTTGCCCCTTGTGTTACACATCCCTGAGCATTGCAATACAGATGGCCAGCTATGCCTTTGTTTCGTTATTTAATCTATGAGTCTGCAGAAAGAGCCCATGTCATTGATTTTTGGAAAGTGTAAGAAGAAGAAGTGGGTGAGAGAGTCACTGACCCTGGCACCAAGGGGGTGCATTCAAGCTGTGCTTGGAAGAGACCTGCTGTGACCTGAACAAGATTAGCGGCATATAAAAGGATCTTTTTCTGTAAATCAAATTGATTACCTTACTAAGGACCATAGGGATACTCCCCACAATGTAGAAAGTACAATAGAAAGCTTTTATGTAATATTTTGCTTATTAATTTAATTATGCACTTTGGCTCCTGTCATCATAATCACGTAACTAATAAAACAGAACATCTATCCAGAGCTGCAGATATCTCTCATGCAAATTATAAAATTGAATATAAAACAGATAGTGAATGTCAGTGTGGTGTAGAAGGAAATAGCTGATTTTAGGGACCTTATCTCAGCTGCAGACTTTCACACTGATTTTAGAGCACTGATACAGCCACTTGGTTGCTAGGTACAAGCCACAGCACTTTTTAGTGCAGATGAACTGCCTGAGTACTTTGTAATTGTTTCTCACATTAGGATTAGGTAGTGTTTTCGCACTATCCTTCACCAACTAGATGTCTTCAAGCATTGAGCACAAAGAGGCTCCAGGAAGCATTCTGGAAATAGTCCTAGAAATAGCCTCCACTCTGTCTTGAAAATGATGATGTGAACTGTATGCTAATGTCCTTATTTTTGAGCGTTTCATCTAACAAGATACATTTTGTTGCCTTGCCAAGATGCATTCTATCTAATTGCCTTCCCACATCCATGCCATTTATGTCTGTTTAAGGTATCACGTCTGGACGAAAGGGCATGCACCAACGAACTTTGCCAAATGGCGAACAGCCACCACCCCCTACCGTGTCGAGTGGGAAGCAGACTTTGAGCCATACGTTGTTGTGAGGAAGGACTGCCCGGAGTATGACAGGAGGTTTGTTGGATTTGGCTGGAACAAAGTAGCTCACATCATGGAACTGGATGCACAGGTGAGGAGACAACACCTGCATATCTCACCCAACAGCTGAAATCGGTGTTCTGCAGAACGGCTTCAGGCTTCTCATCACCCAAGTGCTCATCTGGCCTTACTGAGCTCTTGAATGAGTACCTCTTGAGTTGGGAACACTCAGCTTAGTCCTTGTCAAGCACTAAAAGCAGAACTAAGTCCGAGGAAGTGTGTTTGTCAGTACTGAGAAGTTGTTTTGCAGTGGCATAGTCCCTGCAGTGCCCACCTCCGGCCCAGCAGCGTGCCCAAGCATTACAGCACTTGTTGCCAGTTTTATAACGTGCTAGAGGATCTGTAGACCTAGCTGGAAGTTTTTTCAATTAAACAGAAGTTAGTGAGTCCCAAATGCTAATTTAGAGTTCAAAAAGCAATCTCAAATTGAATCCAAAGCAAGCTTCTTCAACTTTGCAGTGCGTCTCTGCAAAGCCAAGGACTTTGTATTTCCAAAGTCTCTGGCTGTGGAGCAGCCTCTAGAAGATCCAGGTACCTGAGCCTTGGTCTACCTCCTTCCTTGGATTTGTGACTTGGGATGGAGTTGCTGGGCAAAATATGTGAGAATAAGGATGCAGAGAAAGCTCAAGAGTCCCAGACTGGCACTAGAGTTCTCAGTTACCAATATCCCTGCCACCAACCTACATCTTAGAGTCTGACAGTAACTATGGCTCCATAGGAGCCTGGTGCTGCTGCTCACTGAAATGGCAGGGTTTGCATCTCCCTGCTGTCCTTGAATGTGAAGCTAACCACTGTGCTCATCAGCAGGGTTTGGGTCATGGTATTTCTTTTTAGTTTGGGTTTGTTTGGGGTTTTTTGTTTGATTTCAAATCCAGTTTTTGAACTAGTAGCGTTTCATGCCCACCAAAAAAACCATGAGGTTTGGCTATCTGTATCCTCCTGTGGCAGCTTCTGCTATGGATCTGGAAGAGAGCTGATCCTTCTCTGCTCAACTCGTAACAGTTTATGTGAAGCAGAGCAGCACAAGGCATACAGCAAGTTACTGGGAGATTGTGTCTCTGGAGTGTAGGATATTTGTGTGCAGGCACCTTAGTGGAAGGTATATTTTCTACTGCTTACAAAACCACATGGTCACCTTGGGCTGGCAGCCACTTGCCCTCTGCTTGCAGAAGGGCATTCCCAAAGAATTTGTACCTACTTATGTTGAGAAAAAAATTATTACAGACTAGAAAAAAGTGCCTCTTATATTATTATTAATAATTATACTTCGCTCTGCTATAGCACTTTAATTTTCCAGTGCACTTTACAAACACTAATCAATTAACCATCAGTTGTGGAGAGTGCTAGGATAATGATTTATTATTTCTTAATCTGGGTAACAAGGCTTATGTTCCCACTGGCAGCTCTCATACAGCACTCACAATTTAACTTTTCTTTTCAGAGATGTTTGCCCAGCATACAGATTACACAGGGGAAACTGGAACATTTCGCAAAGTTGTTCATCGTGCAGATATTTTAAAAAGCCTTTGAGTTGGAGCTAACTCTGGGGAATTGTTTTTCTCACTCTTCCAGCCTTAAAAACATTCTCACATTGAAAAGAAGCTTGATTTTCATCTGTAGCAACATGAGTATTGGCCTGTTCTCCCGCAAAATCAGCCTGGAGAGGATGTGGGATCGCACAGCTACCTTCCCGTATGGCATTCCTCTGCTTCAGGGTGTCCACAGATCAGGTTGCTGCCAGCTGCTTGGCTGGTTTCATTACCAGCAGGCAGAGCAGCTTCTCAATTGAATTATTTCACTGCTTCTCACAACTGCAGTGTCTGTCAGTACTGTTTCATTCTCCTTACCAAGGGCCTGTGCCACTACCATCATTCAGAGCAGCACACTGCATGGAAGTAATTGTCATTATTATTCTGGGGGCATGTAGATGTCAACTGAGCCGGATGCTGTCCAAATACATAGATAATGACAGTCTCCATCTAAAGAATTTATAACCTGTGAGATAGTCACAGAGGTTCCTGCAAGTGCATTGCTTTGTCCAGAAATGTTTCCATGTAGTAGAGATGGGTTATTAGGAAACCTTTCCCTGTTCTTCTAATGACTGTGGAATTGGCTGAGCATCCCTTTTTCCAGGACCCTAGCCCAGCATCTTTTGAAAAGGCTTATTAACAGCAGACTCCTATAAGTTTTTAGAAGGCTGTAGGTTCTTGAAGGATTTTCAGAGGGATGGGAGCACTGCTGTGCTGAACAGTTTACACTACAGAGGATAGGCAGTCCCTGAACTGCAGGATTAGAGACTTGGTATGCAAACAGAGAAAAAAGATTGTATGAGGAGAGTGGATCCTTCTCTGCAGCTTCAGGTCTTAGTTTTAAGGTCCTGAAGTGACATATTTTATAGTTTGTAGTTTGTCAGTTCTCCTCACTCCATCATGCCAGCCTTTCTTTTTGCATTTGGTTCTCCATTAGTTCCAAGTGTTTTCCAGCTAAATAAGTTCTGCCTGTGAGCATCAGATTATTTTGCTCTTGCTGTACATTCATCACCCCACACAGAAGTTCAGAGGGGCCTGTTCCCATATATGACAGCATTGTAATTTGGCACAAAGATTTACCGCTTCAGCACTGTCTGGCAGGGAGGATGCATTCCCATAGTAAGAAAGGAGCAGCCGTACAGCTACATCTGCACCTAGCTGTCCAGCATATGCTGCTGTTTCATAGGTGTCTCTGGGAAGTCACTGCAGCCTTAGCTACACTTCGGGCTCACCAGTACCGCTGCCTGAATTGGGATATGGCTCCACATTGCATTCTGCTCACTTTTTTCCATTTTGTCTGGGCTTCATTTTGGTCTGTGCTGCTCAAACACTTGGTTTCTGGTAGCATCCTAACCCAGCAGCTTTCAGTCTTTTCTGGGTTGATCATACTTGTTCCAACAACAACTTCCGTGGGCACCACTGCAATGGTGGCACTGCCTCACCACTCTCACAGTAAAGGATTTTTTCCTAACATCTAACCTAAATCTCCTCTGTTTGAGCTTGAACCCATCACCCTTTGTCCTATCACTACAGTCCCTGATGAAGAATCCCTCTGTGGTATCCTTGTAGGCCCCTTTCAGATACTGGAAGGCTGCTATGAGGTCTCCACGCAGCCTCCTCTTCTCCAGGCTGAACAGCTCCAACTTTCTCAGCCTGTCTTCATACGGGAGGTGCTCCAGCCCCCTTATCATCCTTGTGGCCTCGTCTGGGCTTGCTCCAACAGCTCCATGTCCTTCTTATGGTGGGGACACCAGAACTGCATGCAGTACTGCAAGTGAGGTCTCATGAGAACAGAGTAGAGGGCCTTCAGGCCTGCCTTTTTGTACAGTTTCCCCATTATTTGGCTTATATGGAGTAAAATATTCTAAAAGATAAGGTAGATATTTCATAAAACTAAGCAAAACCAACTTTAAAATGAAGGCTTATTTGTCTTATCTGCATGAGTTTGTTATTTCTGAGACTCACACTGCACTGTTACGTGATGGAGCATGTTTGACTGTGGAGGTATGGGAGAGATGCATTACAAGAGGGCTCGGGGACACCCTCACAGCCAGTGTCTTTCTCCCCCAGGAGTACGAGTTCACGGTGCTGCCCAATGCCTACATGATCCACATGCCGCACGCCCCCAGCTTCGACATCACCAAGTTTCGCTCCAACAAGCAATACCGCATCTGTCTCAAGACCCTGAAGGAAGAGTTCCAGCAGGATATGTCACGCCACTATGGCTTTGCAGCCCTCAAATATCTCACGGCAGAGAACAACAGCTAGCACAACGGAGCCCGTGTGAGGGAAACAGGGACACCAGAGGGAGGAGGAGCCGCTCAGCGTTTGGGGTCTTCGAACTGAGAAATACTTTCTGGTTTTATATCCTACTCGGCAGTTCTAACAGTAGAAATTTGAAGTGACATGTCTTCGGACTATGCTCATTTGTCCCTTCCCTGACTACCCCAGGCCTTTCAGCTTTAGCATTCATGAGGTGTCAGCGAGAGGAGCCGGCCATGCGCCCACCATGCCGCCGGAGGTGGGGACTGGGCTAGGGCTGGGAATGCACACTGCTCTCTTCACGGCAGAGCAAAGACAGACCTTCAGAATATAGGATTTCATGTTGCTATTTAATAATTTGACATGCTTTTTATCTGTAAAGGAAGATCTTCGGGTCACTTTCCTGTGAATTTCAAATCTGCACTACTCTAAAAGGGAACTCTCACCTGTGAACTTTCACAGGGTCCCTGTTACCATGGATGACCTTGTTAATGCAGGATGAGCCAAAGGTCTGAATTAGCCTTGAAAACAAAGGGGACGCTTATACAATACTGCACTCCAGAGAAGGTGTGTTAACTGGTTTAGGTGTATACATGATACCAGTTGGTCTTTTACTCTTAAATTAGTTGTTTTATCAGGAAAATGCCCTATACCCCACCCTGCCTTCTCCCCAGTCCTAAATGCTGCTCCTTTCCTTGCCAAGGAAATGTCTCCCTTGTGTTTCTTTCCCATCTTCAGTTCTGGTGGTCCAGTAAAGAAGATTAGTAGGCTCTGCCAGAACATGAACAAAACTTGTCAGTGTAAGGTTTGTTTTCACCAGAGCAACTTGTTCGTGTGTGTCTCGTAAAATAAAGGGCCGGGCTGAAACTCTTTATCCTTTTATAGGCAAGAATTAGATTTTGCCTGTGAGGCACATTGTGCAGGGGGATATTGATTCGTAGGCTCATTTCAGTGCATGCCCATCTGTGAAGGCATTGGGCCTTGGGCTTTAAGTGGACTTCTTTGATGAACAGGGAATATAAACACGGCAACTAGTAGCCTTGGTGCTCTCCTGCTGCCTGCTGCAAGGTCTCAGAACTACTTCGTTAAAGGAGTTTATAATTAAAAGGAGCAGAACTGTTAGGAATAAACTCCCCATTCGAGGGGAGAAAAGAATGTGTTGGGAATCTGAGTGTGAGTGTTTGCTTGAACGTGGGCTGATCAAGTTCACAACTTTCGTACACGCAGGAATATGCTGGTGGGCGGACAGGAAACCTAACAAGCAAAATGCAGAAAACAAGACACCGGACTTTTTGCCATTTTCTTTATTCTTCACTATTAATGTTGTGTTTACATGGGATGAAGAGATGAGGTTTAATGCACTACCCCTTGCAGGGCTATTTGTAATTTCTGTTGCAATGTTAATAGAGAAAGCAGAAACAACTCAGTGAGAAATGCGTCTGTCTCCTTACCCCAGATCCCCATACAACCATGGTACCACTATCACTGCCTGAGTTGGGAAATGGATCCACATTATGTTCTGCTCACCTTTTTCCCCTTTTGTTTTTCAGCCACTGGACCTTCTACTTCCCTCCCCACCTCATCTCTCTAGAGCTTGGTTTTATTTCTAACCTGACATTTCATGAGAGCTTTCTGTTACGGTGGAAACCACGTGGTTAAACCAGACATTTAAACTACAAATATCAGTTCATCATGCTGTGTATATATAAAAAAAAGCCAAAAAAGGCAACATCTTTGACAAGAAATAAAAAGGGGCGGGAGGCTGTGTGTAATTTTCATTTTTTCCCCTGGGAGTGTTGGCTGCATAAGAATGCATCACTGCATAATTTTCCAGAGTGCTTTTCTTCTGTTCTTAATGGCTTTCTGTAAAGATTTACATAAAAATCTGGGAAGAGCTGGCAAGAAGTGAAATAAGTGCTCAGTCCTGGCTAAGATAGATTCTTTTAAAAACCCCAAAATCTTAACTACCCAAGTCCTGTATAACTCACGATTAAGGGCCCAGGTCACTGTGCATATTGAGAATGAGAACCCTGCAGCACAGGTGCCTGTTGATTAGCTAATGTGCAGAAGTTTATCAAAAGCTGATCCTAAGAGAGCCTAACACTGGTTGTCCCTACATAAAATCTCCAGTCAGAGCTTCAGAGTGACCGTTGTTATGTTTCATATGTATTAAAAACTTTCATTTCCAGATGTATGTTTCTCCTTGGCTTAACAATATTACCCAGGGATGGACTGGATTGCCCTGCAGCAGCATAACCTGTAGCATGGGCCTGTGTGTTATTTTGATGTGCCATTATCAACATCTTATGATGCAGATGGGGGAGTGGGGAGGTAATCATTTGCTAATTACCTGTCTGCGTAGCAAGTCATGGAATGTCCTGGGTAGGCTTAGGTGTGCTGGCTGGCGTAACCAGCTCAAAGATTGGTAGTAGGTTCAAAGAGCCCCCTTTTTTTACCTTTATAGACACTGTACTGACTTGTATCTGTCATTTCATGTTTGTCTACGTGCTTCATGATTAGGGAAATGTGAGGCTTGGGTTTTCTTAACACATTTCAGCCATTTTTCATGATAGCAAATTAGAATTACCTATCTGTCTGTAACTGCCAGGGCTCCTCCAATACCGTGAAAAAGACACCACCGACAACAGAAGTCCCCAACTCAATTATAACTCTGTCTTCCAGTCCTCTGCTGTAGTAGGTATTTGATAGCAACTTTGTTACTTAATTCTCAGTTTCCTCCTGAAGTCTTCGAGAAATATCAGATAAACCTGGTAACTCAATGCCTTTGATTTATTGATTTGTTCCACCAACTTCTCACTTGAGTCTTCATTCTCCTTATCTTTGATACTTGGAAAGTGTGAGTCTCTCGTTTAGTTTTCACTCCAGCACCCTCTCTGGTGAAGACCAATGCAAATAAATCATTTAGATTCTTGGCAATGTCCTTATTGTCTTTAATTGTTTCTTCTACTTATTGTTTGGGGTGGCCTACCGGTTATGTCCAGTTTTCTCCTTTTGGTGTACTGAGCAAATGTGTATTTTCAGTTTTAACTTCCTACTGTTTGCTCTTCAGATTCCCTCTTAGTTTGCTCAAACTCCATCTTAACTATTACATACTTTCAGGTTTACAAAATTCTGATTTCCATTCTCTAAAGGTTTCCTATTTGGCCTGAATAATTTCTAAAATTTACGATTTAGTCATACCAGTATTTCCTTGTCCTCATCTTCTATTTATCCAAGGGGATACCATACACGATGGCTATTTATAAGCCCTTTCCATTTTTAGTCTGAGGATTTCAGTTTTTCTTTTCTTTTTATTTAGGGCCACTGATTCTTTAAAAGGAAAAAAGGGGTTTGTTTTTAAGTTTTTATATCAAATATTACCCTACTATTGTAGGTTTGCATTTTCCTCTTTACCTTTCCTAAATGCTACCCTTTTTCTGGTCAAGGGATCAGAAATAAAATCTTACAAAATTTTTTTGTTCTTCTAATATGTGCTCTTATCTTGACACATTTTGTTCTGTGGCTCCCTTTTCCCCCTCTACTCCACAACATTGACATGTATGAGTCACTGCAAACTTTTCAGTCCCAGAGCCTGAAATGTGTATTTCCAGCACCTTCTGACATCCCACCACATTTCAGACATAATTATTATTCCAAATAATAATCTGCTGGCTGCCACCCAATCCTTCTATTTTTGTTTTCGTGCTCCTCCCTTTGATATAACAGGCTTTGCAAGTTTAAGTTTTGGGCAAAGCACTTGCCTTTATTTAATGCCTTATTGTAACCTAGTAAGTTTCCATGATTTCTCTCTGTTGTCACAGGATATACCTCTAAATGTCTGGCTGTAGCTTCCATCTTGTCATTTTCTGGCTAAGGGTCATCTACCATTTGCCTACCTGGCAGACCTAGAAACTGTCTTCCTTTATTCTGACTAGTCCTTAGTATCTATCACGTTTTTTTTCCAAATCCTACTTTTGGTAATTCCATCCAGCCTTTCTTGTTTCCTATGTCAGCAACATGGTTCCACTTCATAATTCGTTTTGGGTTTTTTTTTCTATTTTCAATCATCATCTTGGATTCTATGACATAAAGGAATTAGCTGTACGTGCAGTTCCATCACTTTTGTTAGAGTTAGTATCAAAAATGCTGACATATTGTTCCTAAAGTACTGGGGTTTTACCTGGCAGGCTTCATGTGGTTTGTGTGTAAATCATAAACTGCATTTTCCTTTTACTGCAACAAGCAGAGGTCCTTTGTAGTGTTACTTGCAGTAGCTGTTGCTGCAGAGTAAGCCCTGTGTTAGAGGGAAAAGCACAAAACTTGTCAGAGCTGTAGCTACTGCTTCTCTCCACAGGGGAAATAAGGCCCTCGCACAGCTGAACAGTTTTATAAATGCCCTGCACAAAACACATTGCACATTATTTTCTGGTAGGTATAATCATACATTGTCCAATTAAATATGAAAAATACATTTTTAATGTTCTCATTTTTACATTCAGTTCCATCCAGAAGATAATGCATTTCCTCCTGTATCTTGCCAGTTTCTCCCATTACTCCAGCCTGCCTAATAGCCCCATCTGTTTTCAGCTGAGAAAGATTAATGACCAGCAGCACTGGGAGTCCTGGCAAATCAGCAGAGATATTACTCTTAGGCATTGCACAGGACATTCTTTGCTATTCTGCCAGATACTGTATGGGTGTTCCTCAGGTTTCAGCACAGCAACAGCAGAACACAGCAAGCTCAGCAAGTGGAGTGAGCATCATTATTTATGAACTTCAGCAAGGCCTAATACATTAGATGGTGGGAGTGCTAAAAAGAGAATGTATCATTGTGAGCTCAAAAAGTATTTCAACTTTAGGAAAAGAAAGCAGCTAAGTTTCTGCAATTCAGTAAGTGAGACTGGAACAAATAAGTCGCTAGTAGCTGGTGACAGCCTACTATTCCCACAGCGGTATTGAAAATGCAGAAGCTAAATGAAGTCACTTTTGCAGTAGGAATTCATAATGTATATTTAGATGGTGTGTTTACATCCAAACACTTAGGTGAACTGGGGATTGTTTGAAGATTGTTACTTCAGTTCACAATACAAAGTTTGGAAAAGCTTCTGGCTGTGCACAGCGAATTGCAGCTCAGAAAATGCTGACAAACCTGAATTTAGAAATACCTTGCTTTTATAGGAGTTTGTTTTCATGAGTAGTTAAACATCCCCAAAATAAGACACAAAGGCAGTGAGAATTTCAAAAGGTGCTTTGTATGTGTCAGTTGTCTGGAACATTTTCCTAGTACAACTACTTGGGATCTGGGGGTCGTTTGCTCTGCAGAGTAGAACTGTTATGATCAGCTTTAAAAATAAGCTGGGTATTAAAAAACCAGCCAAATATTT